AGACCAAAATGTATAAATGCAATCCCAAAGGCCCTCCCTAAAAACCTATACGTTCCCAGAGAACTTCCCCCAGAACCTCAATGCGTTCCCACAGAACATCCCTCAGAACCTAACGCGTTGCCAGAGAACTTCCCTCAGAACCTAATGCGTTCCCAGAGAACTTCCCTCAGAACGTAATGCATTCCCAGAGAACTTCCCTCAGAATCTAATGTGTTCCAAGGAACCTCCCTCAGAACCTCAATGCATTCCCAGAGAACCTCCCTCAGAACCAAATTCCTTCCCACAGAACCTCCCTCAGAACCTCAGTGCATTACCAGAGAATCTCCCTCAGGACCTAATGCGTTCCCAGAGAACTTCCCTCAGAACCTAATGCGTTCACAGAGAATCTCTCTCAGGACCTAATGCGTTCCCAGAGATCCTGCCTCAGAACCTAACACGCTCCCAGAGAACTTCCCTCAGGACCTAATGCCTTCCCAGTGAACTTCCCTCAGGACCTCAATTCTTTCCCAGAGAACTTCCCTGAGAACCTCAACGCATTCTCAGAGAACCTCCCTCAGGACCTAATGCACTCCCAGAGAACTTCCCTCAGGATCTAATGCGTTCCCAGAGAACCTCCCTCCAGGACCTAATGTGCTCCCAGAGAACCACCCTCAGGACCTAACGCGTTCCCAGAGAACCTCCCTCAGGACCTAACGCGTTCCCAGAGAACTTCCCTCAGGACCTCAATTCGTTCCCAGAGAACTTCCCTGAAAACCTCAACACATTCCCAGACAACCTCCCTCCAAACCTAACACCTTCCCAGAGAACCTCCCTCCAAACCTAATGCGTTCCCAGAGAACCTCCCTCAGAACCTAATGGGTTACCAGAGAATCTCCCTCAGAACTGAAAGACATTACCAGAGAACTTCCCTCACGACCTAATGAGCTCCCAGAGAACCTCCCTCAGAACCGAAAGGCAACACCAGACAACCTACCTCAAGATCTAATGCGTTCCCAGAAAACCTCGCTCAGAACCTACCATGTTCCCAGAGAACTTCCCTCAGAACCTAATGCGTTCCCAGAGGTCCTCCCTCAGAATCTAATGCGTTCCCAGAGGTCCTCCCTCAGAATCTAACGCGTTCCAGAGAAATTCCCTCAGAACATAATGCGTTCCCAGAGAACTTCCCTCAGGCCCTCAATGCGTTCCAGAGAACCTCCCTCGGAACCTCAGTGCGATCCCAGATAACCTCCCTTAGAACCTAAACATTCCCAGAGAACCTCCCTCAGAACCTCAGTGCATTTCCCAAGAACCTCCCTCAGAATCTCAGTGCATTCCGAGAGAACTTCCCTCAGGACCTCAATGCGTTCCCAGAGATCCTCCCTCAGGACCTAATGCGTTCCCAGAGAACTTCCCTCAGAACCTAACGCGTTCCGAGATAACCTCCCTCAGAATCTCAATGTGTTCTCAGAGAACTTCCCTCAGAACCTAATGGGTTCCCAGAGAACTTCTTTCAGGACCTAATGCATTCCCAGAGAACTTCCTTCCCTTAGAACCTAGTGCATTCCCAGAGAAACTCCCTCAGGACCTAATGCGGACCCACAGAACCTCCCTCAGAACCTCAATACATTCCCAGAGAACCTCCTTCAGAACCTAATGCGTTCTGAGATAGCCCCCCTCAGAATCTCAATGCATTCCCAGAGAACTTCCTTCAGAACCTAATGCATTCCCAGAGAACCTCCCTCAGAACCTCAATGCATTCCCAGAAAGAGGAGCATTCTTTTCAGAATCTCAATGCATTCCCAGAGAACTTCCTTCAGAACCTAATGCATTCCCAGAGAACCTCCTCAGAAATTCCTTGGCTTCATTCCCAGAGAACCTCCCTCAGAACCTCAATGCATTCCCAGAGAACCTTCCTCAGGACCTAATATGTTCCCAGAGAACCTCCCTCAGAACTTCAATGCATTCCCAGAGAACTCTCCTCTGAACCTAATGCGTTCCCAGAGAACCTCCCTCAGGACCTGAATGCGTTCCCAAAGAACCTCCCTCAAAACCTAATGTGTTCCCAGAGAACCTCCCTCAGGACCTCAATGAGTTCCCAGAGAACTTCCCTCTGAACCTAATGCGTTCCCAGAGAACCTCCCTCAGAACCTAATGGGTTCCCGTAGAACCTCCCTCAGAACCTAATGCGCTGCCAGAGAACTTCCCTCAGGACCTCAGTGCGTTCCCCAAGAACCTCCTTCAGGGCCGGGCGCGGTGGCTCACGCCTGTAATCCCAGCACTTTGGGAGGCGGAGGTGGGCGGATCACAAGGTCAGGAGATCGAGACCATGGTGAAACCCCGTCTCTACTAAAAACAGAAAAAATTAGCCGGGCGCAGTGGTGGGTGCCTGTAGTCCCAGCTACTCGGGAGGCTGAGGCAGGAGAATGGCGTGATCCCGGGAGGCGGAGCTTGCAGTGAGCCGAGATTGCGCCCCTGCACTCCAGCCTGGGCGACAGAGCGAGACTCCGTCTCAAAAAAAAAAAAAAAAAAAAAGAACCTCCTTCAGAACCTCAATGTGTTCCCAGAGAACCTCCCTCAAAACCTAATGCATTCCCAGAGAACTTCCCTCAGAACCTCAACATGTTCCCAGAGACCCTCTGTCAGGACCTAATGCGTTCCCAGAGAACCTCCCTCAGAACCTCAATGTGTTCCCAGACAACTCCCCTCAGTACCTAATGAGTTCCCAGGGAACCTCCCTCAGGATATAATGCATTCCCAGATAACTTCCTTCAGTACCTAATGCGTTCCCAGAGAACCTCCCTCAGAACCCAATGTGTTTCCAGAGAACTTCCCTCAGAACCTCAATGCATTCCTGAAGAACCTCCCTCAGGACTTTCCCACAGCCGCTGTTGCTCTCCCCATGGGAGCCACCTTCTGGTCCCTTCCAAGTGTGTTCTTTAGGAGGCTTCCTCTGGGAGCCCAGGCTAGTCTGTCTCCAGTCATCTTGTCACAAGTCATCTTGACCTTTCTAAAACCTGCCTTCCAACGTGGAAGGGCTTTCTACAGTTACTCTGGCTGTGGACAAGGACTCAGGGGTTAGGACTCTTCCTCCTTTTCTAATGCCCCCTCACGCACACAACAGACACTGGAGCATGAACACAGTCTTCGGCTGTTAGTTTGGAAGTCTTTGGGACTTTTTTAAAAACAGGGTGGGAGGGAAGGAACCTGGCCGCAGTGAGATGCTTTATAAAAATCTTTGGAGGCTACAAGTTTGTGAAAAGCATATACTATATTTTGTTTGCTTTTTTTTTTTTTTTTTTTTGAGACAAAGTCTCTGTCATCCAGCTGGGTGGCATAGTAACGGCTCACTGCAGCCTCTACCTCCTGGGTTCCAGTGATTTTCCCACCTCAGCCGTTCAAGTAGCTGGGACTACAGGTGTGCACCACCACACCTGACTAATTAAAAATTATTTATAAAGATGAGGTTTCACCATGTTGTCCAGGCTGGTCTCAAATCCTGGGCTCGATAATTCCTCCTACCTTGGCCTCCCAAAGTGCTGGGATTACAGGTGCAACCCACTGTACCTGGCCATATAAAAAGCATACACTCTATTATATAGATGATCCATAAAATAAAATCAGAGTCCATGAGTTCATACTGATATATAAACAAATGGGAGACAGGAAAAATTCTTCCATATAGTAGAACTCCAATTAGTAACTATAGAAGAAATGATGAAAACAGATAATCAACATTTGGCAAATGCCACAGAAACAACGCTTCAGTCAGGAATCAATCAGGAAGGGGTGCAAAAATGAGTGGGCAAAAGTTTGATGAGAGCAGGATATTTACATAGTATCGTCCCATAAGATACTTATTAATTACCAGGAGAAAAATAGTAACTTCACAGTGAAGACAGTTGGCAGGTACCACCTAAAGCAAGTAATCAAAGTATCAGCAATAATGGGACACACAATGCACTGGGGATACAATGCCACTTTTATGGCATTCTTGCCCAAAATGGATTTGATCAAGAAAAAAACAAACAAAAACTGAGGACATTGTACAAAATACCTGGCCAGTACGCACTGAGGCTGTGAAAGACAAAGAAAACATGAGGAATGGCTGCGCGAGGTGGCTCATGCCTGTAATCTCAGCACTTTGGGAGGCTGAAGTGGGTGGATCATTTGAGCCTAGGAGTTCGAGACCAGCCTGGGCAACACAGGCAGACTGCATCTCTACTAAAAATGGAAAAATTAACCAGGCGGGGTGGCGTGCACCTGTGGTCCCAGCTACTTGGGAGACTGAGGTGGGAGGATTGCTTGAGCCCAGGAGATGGAGGATGCAGTAAGTCATAATCTCACCACTGTACTCCAGCCTGGGGGACAGCATGAGACCCTGTCTCAAAAAAGGAGAGGAGGGGAGGGGAGGGGAGGGAAAAAGATGAGGAACTACTCAAGATTAAAGGGGACCAAGACCAAAGAGATCTGACAACGAAATGCGTGATTATTGGGTCCTGGACCAGAAAAAGGGAAATTAATGGGACAGTATTACCTTCTTGATTTTGTTAACTGTGGTTGTTATGTAAGATGTTAACATTCTCTGAGGAGGGCATGTGAGAATTTTTTGTCCTATTTTTGTAACTTTTTTGTAAGTCTAAATTATTTCAAAATGAAAGGTTGAATTATACTTGAAAACATATACATTCGAGATTAGGCTTTCTTCCAATACCCAGTGCCTGACACTGTAAAGCTGTGTGGGCTGACATATGTCAGGGCTCAATACACCCAAATGGGAACAGATCCCAATGTAGGGAGCCACTGGGGACTTTATTAGGGGCAAACTCAGGCCCTGAGATTTATAGACACAATTAATGATAACATTCAAAAGATGTAAAAATATCCCTAATGGGTTTCTAGGGAGGGTCCCAGGCGTGCCACATCCATCTTCAGCCCCGGAAGGAGCTGTGTGCTTCTGAGACCCAGTCATGACCAGAGGGGCGAGAAATGCAGGCAGAAAACAGCAAATGTTCCTCACTCACTTGTCTTGGGATTCGATATACACGTAGAGATGAGGCTCAAAACACTTGGAAACAATGCCATGAAATGGATTGTCTGGGGCTTTAGGCTTCTTTGGCTGTAAAAACAAAGAAAAATAAATCCTATACCTGAGTGATCTTTGCAAATGTTCAGGAACTTTTTTAAAAACATAACTTCAAAGTTCACTCCTAAGTCACAGATAAGAGAGTACTCAATGTAACCCAACATGATAGCTTCACGATTCACCCTGGCAGGTGAACAAAACACCAGCTTTGTTAGCATCACCCACTTGCTCTGGACGGTGAAAGACATACTATTACCTGGATAACATATGTATGTTGAATCTGGAAGCTCGTCATCATCTATCCGACTGGTGTTTTCCAGAATTTAAACCCTGGCTAATAACAGCACCTTGTATTTGTACAATGCTTTAGAATTTAAAAAGTGCTTTCACACAATCCAATTTTTGATAGCACTTTGATACCAACTAATATGTCACCTGCTCCTCACAATAATCCTTCATGTAGGTATCATTACTACTATTTTATACCTCAAGAAATGAGGACTCAGAGGCTCTCTAACCTGCCCCAAGACATATGTAGAAGTCTGCTTTTCTTAAACTAGAACTCTATTATACCATTATTTTCCTGCAGTGGTTCCCAGAATTTTTTGAATTCCATCAGTAAGAAAATGTAAGAAAAAGAAGGATGGAAAACCAATAGAGGGTTGTTAACTTTATTTTGCTACTTTCTATTCTTACCACAAGTTCCTAAATAAATAAATAAATAAAGGGTTTTGTTGTTTGTTTGTTTGCTTTTTGAGACAGAGTCTCCCTCTGTCAACCAGGCTAAAGTGCAGTGGCGCCATCTCAGCTCACTGCAACCTGCGCCTCCTGGACTCCAGGGATTCTCGTGTCTCAACTTCCTAAGTAGCTGGTATTTCTTCCAATACCCAGTGCCTGACACCGTAAAGCTGTGTGGGCTGACATATGTCAGGGCTCAATACACCCACATGGGAAGGGATCCCAATGTAGGGAGCCACTGGGGACCTTATTAGGGGCAAACTCAGGCCCTGAGATTTATAGACACAATTAATGATAACATTCAAAAGATGTAAAAATATCCCTAATGGGTTTCTAGGGAGGGTCACACGTGTGGTGTATAGGCACACGCCACCACGCCGAGCTAATTTTTGTATTTTAAGCAGAGGTGGGGTTTGGCCAGGCTGGTCATGAACTTCTGGCCTCAAGTGATCCACCCACCTCCACCTCCCAAAGTGCCGGGTTTATAGGCATGAGGCACGGCGCCCAGCCAGAAAATCGTATTTGATACCCTCAAATTTTATAAGAATAAAATAGCAGCGTACAGGCAGTACGTTCTAAGATAGGACAGTTGGTAACCTTACGTCAGATAGATAGAGACAGACACACACAGGCAGGCAGACTATACTGTCTTTATTTTTTTGCTTTAGGCCACTGCAGTACTAGACCAGCACTGGTTTCCAGGCTGTTACTTGGAAACCACGGATAAAGAAGTCATATGACAGGCAAGTAGTTTAAAACTACATTTGCTACTTAATTCCTTTCCAAACATCTAAAAAAAAAAACCAAAGATTTTCCTACATATTACTTTCTATTCCTAAAAAACGTGAATTCTGCCTATTGCCAAATGTCCACAAAATGACCCTGAGCCAAACACACCTTGCTGGGGTTGATACTAGAATATAATTCGTATGTAAACTGGCACCCACAACATACTTGTTAAATTGAACTACTCATATCTTATTTTTTTTTAAACCCACTTATTGAGGTATGACTGACATTTTAAAAGCCCTACATATTTAATGTATACATCTCGATGCATTTGAGGTTAGGTATACACCCATGAAGCCCTCACCACCATCAAGGCAGTAAGTGTATCCACCACCTCCTCCCACCCCTGTTGTTATTATCACTTGTGGTAATAATACTTGCTAGGTGTGGTGGCTCATGCCCATAATCCCAGCACTTTGGGAGGTAAGGCAGGCAGATCACGAGGTCAGAAGTTCAAAACCAGCATGGCCAATATGGTGAAACCCCGTCTCTACTAAAAAAATACAAAAAATTAGCTGGGCGTGGTGGCAGGCGCCTGTAGTCCCAGCTACTTGGGAGGCTGAGGCAAAGGAATTGCTTGAACCCGGGAGGCAGAGGTGGCAGTGAGTCGAGATTGCACCACTGCACTCCAGCCTGGTGACAGAGTGAGACTCCATCTCAAAAAAAAAAAAAAAAGAATACTTAACATAAGATCTATCCTCTTGAATTGCTTATATATTTTAATAAACACTGGAAGAGATAAGCCCCAATGACAGACAGAAATGATAACTACCTATTTCTGGTCTTTTTTATTATTTTTTTAAATAACACATTGCAATGGTTAAAAACATCTGTAAAAACTGATTTGTAAAAAATGATCACCAAAAATTAAATGTCAACTTTAGATAGACCCACTCAATCTTGTACTTAACCCTCTTCCCTTTTTACCTTCCAGGAGTTCCATATCTTTCATTTTTTGGCAAGGTTTCTACAAACTCTGGTCCTTCCTAAGAATAAATACAATCTGCACTGTTTACTCTTATCATCTGGAAACCACTGCCATAGCCAGGCCTTGAACTGAGCCCACAGTAGGGCCTGGGGGACCACACAAGCCTGGCTGATTGAGCTTGAATCTGCCGGGTCTAGAATTCCACTTGAGTGCACAGATGTCCTGGGAGTTTTTTGCACTTCCATTAGTTCAAGATGAAGGATCTATGATGGAGGATGAGGATTGTGAGGGGTGTCCTCACTCGCCCTGTTTTTTCCAAGTCAGTATCTATCTTTTATTATTGATTCACTAAGATGATTTAAGTGAACAGAAAAATGTGATTTAATTTATCTAACTCTATAGGACTAGATATCATGGATTTAGATTTGGAAAACATGGCTTCTACAAACAGATATCTTTTTATTAATTAAATAATAATGATAAGCATTATGGCTATTCTTTTCATTGAATTGTTTTCTTCTTTTGAAGAAAATATTCACATTCTGCAGGATGACTTCTGGTAATTATACATGTGAATTTACATAATACAGAATGTTACCATTTAAAAAAATCAACATGTATATTTTGCTTTTTTATTTTGAACATGTGTATTTTGTATTCAGCTTTACTGACTTGCTAATTTATGTGTACTTTCCCAACTGCTGACAATATTTTATCACTTTAAAATGGCTACATTATGAAACTCTTAAAAAGCCTATAGATTACATAATATTACTGTACTGATGTTAAATTTTCTGATTTTGATCTATGGTAATATAAGTGAATGTCTTTCTTCTTAAGAAATACCTACTAAAGTTCGTGTCCTTTGTAGGGACATGGATGCTGCTGGAAACCATCATTCTCAGCAAACTATCGCAAGAACAGAAAACCAAACACCACGTGTTCTCACTCATAGGTGGGAATTGAACAATGAGATCACCTGGACACAGGAAGGGGAACATCACACACCGGGTCCTATTGTGGGGAGTGGGGGGAGGGATAGCATTAGGAGATACACCTAATGTAAATGACGAGTTAATGGGTGCAGCACACCAACATGGCACATGTATACATATGTAACAAACCTGCATGTTGTGCACACGTACCCTAGAACTTAAAGTATAATAAAAAAATTAATTAATTTTAAAAAAAACCTACTAAAATATTTAGGAGTAAGGGATATTATGTCTACAACTTACAAATTGTTCTAAAGGTCAGGGGGGAGTGGGGGAAAAATGATAAAGTTATATAGGAAAATGCTAACAATTGCTGAATCCAGAAGAAAGATATTTAGGAGCTCCTTGTAACTTTTCTCCTAGTTTGACATTATTTAAACAAGAAAAAAAGTAAAGGATAACGACAAAAAACTTGGAAAATGGGTACCAACGGCCTGATGGAAAATTCCAGAGACCACAATGGAGCCATCTTAAGAATGGCACATCGTCAACACCACACGGGCTGGGGGGCAACACTGTGTGGGAGGCAAAGGCACTCCTGCCTCAGCGAAAAAGGGGTTTGGATCTATCTCCTGGTTTGATGATGTACTCTGGTGTTCCCCTGAAGGAAGCTGAGAGATGGGAAGGGATCTGGATCAATTTCCTGGTTTGATGATGCACTCTAGTATGTTAGCTGTCCCCTGGAGGAAGCTGGGAGGAAGCTGTACCTCACTGACTAGGTTTATAATTTATGAGCCCATAATTATTTCAAAATATAAAGTTTTTAAAAAAGTGGTTCAGAAGATGTGGGCCTGCATGTGAAGAAGTTTTATAAATATCTTAATCTATTTATTTTGCTTATAGTTTCCTTTTTATGTATACACAAAAGTGATATATGATTGGAGATAAACTATGTTGGAATAAGTTTGAAGAACTCATCTGGTAAGTATAAAATACAGATTCTAACTGGGAAAAGAAACTGGCTCTATAATTCCAACAAACTCATCTTGATCAGTCTGCCACAGGCCCTGCCCTTGATGAGGCCCCACAGGACACTCAGAAAGCTGCACGACCAGGCAGCGCCAGGGTTCCACCTCTGTCAGTAGATGACGCTGCTCTGCCTGCCCTCCCCACCAACAGCACTCTTCCGCAGCGAGGAGGGACCCCTGACCTTGCCACCACAGCACCTAGGTCGTCCTCTTGCGGCATTTCTAGTGTGAGCTGAAGCAAGAGAGGAATAACGGGAGAGATTGCCTACAGTTTCCTTTTTTCTTTTTTCCTGCTGGGCTGCCTCCTGCCTATGGCTATGTGATGAACGTGCTCAGTTTAGATAATAGGTGCTGGAATTTCGGTTAACTGGCGTCTCCCTTTGCACCACGCAACTCCCCAGAGGGTTGATTCTCAGCTTAAACACTAAGTCATTTAGCAGTAGCGTTTGGGCCAGGTTCTGAGTGTGTGAATTCTGCCCAAAAGCTGCACATGTTTAAGCTATTTCCTCCTGGAGTTTGGTGGAATAATAAAAGGTTACTGTTGTCACAGTGAGGAGGCCTGCAGCTGGTCCCATTTCCTTTTGTTACTACCCAATGTAAACAGATTAAATCTAACTGCTTGGGTCACCAGAAGGGACATTCCTTATTTCTTCTTTCTGTTATACCTTCAGTGTCCCTCAGGCCCCTTTCAGATGTCAATCTTTATCATTGGGAATATCTTGGCAACTGATTGCTCGGGCCCTCTTGTAAACTAAATACCGTTTTTCATGTTCCCTCTCTCTTCTCAGCAGCCAGGCGTAAACTGCAGTAGTGAGCAGGGTGTGACCCTTACCTTGAGAGCCACATGGCTACTGACTGCAGCCATGGAATGAGTTGGGTCACCCACGGGGCCAGCAGGGACCTTCCCTCCAACCACCTCGGGCTGATTTCACCACTAACATCTAGTGGGGTCCCTCCCCGACCACAAGGGCTCTGCTCTTGTTGTGTACCCCACTCTGGGAAGAGGGAGACCCTGGGGCACCCACCTAATCAGCCACCAGGTAGGCCAGGGCCGGTGAGGCAGCAGGAGGTCAGGGATGGCATGGGTGGAGGCATTAGTCACTGGCACTGGCATGTAAGTTTTATTACTAATGAGTAATAGCCCATGAAATGGCAAGTAGATCAGCTAGATCAGGGGTTTAGTTGTTTCTTTTGAGATGGAGTCACGCTCTGTCGCCCAGGCTGGAGTGTAGTGGTGTGATCTCGGCTCACTGCAACCTCCGCCTCTTGGGTTCAAACGATTCTCCTGCCTCAGCCTCCCGAGTAGCTGGGACTACAGACACCCACCACCACGCCTGGCTAACTTTGTATTTTTAGTAGAGATGGGGTTTCACCATGTTGGTCAGGCTGGTCTTGAACTCCTGGCCTCAGGTGACTGGCCTGCCACGGCCTCCCAAAGTTCTGGGATTACAGGTGTGAGCCGCCGTGTCTGGCCATTTTTTTTTTTTTAATGACATAAAATCCCTGGTTCAAAAAAATGTTTTATCTGAAAGCCCATGATACAAAATGACTCGCAATAAAACTGCTCTGATCGCAGGATCTAGGTCCCTGGCCGCCTCCTAACTTCCACAGTGACATCTGACGGGGCACCAAGGAACACAGTTTGAAAACCATTAGCTCTCACTGAAGGCAAACTGGGGAAGTCTAAAGAGAGAGAATAACCTACCTAAGGTCACAAGGTCAGTCAGCTAATGGCCGACAAGAGTCCGACATTTTCCCAGCACGTGACTCTGCTTTACCCCATGTATTGGTCAGGTGTCAGTGTTCTGTGTTCTTAGAATGAGCAGGTCTTGGTCCTTACAACAGTAACTTCAAGCTTCCATATGAGGAAAAAGTTCCAAGAAAAAGGAAAATTATATTTTACCTGGAAAAACTGATTGTGTAGGGAAGGGGGCCTCTGTATCTTAATCCAATTTAATAACATCCAGAGATGACTAGCGAAAGGAGTAACTTTTCCTGGCAACACTAGAAGCATCGGAGTGTTTAACTGCACAATCTTGGACATGACCATGGCAGCCACTAGCACTGGTGAGACAACAGGGCTCTGCAAACGGCTCTCCTGTACAAAGCATGCCCACAGGGTACAGGTGGCCCTGTGTGGATGGAGGACACACCAGAAGAACAGGCTCTACACCCAGAGCCTTCTTTCCACCCTACTCCCTGCTCCCAAAATGCAATTGAGAACTGCATCTAATTAGTTACAAGAAACTGTTCGTTTTCTCCCATGCCAGTCAATACTATGATGGCTTTAAATCAACTGCATCTAATCCTATATATACATCTCCGGGAGGGAGCCTCCTCAAGATGTCCCATCAGTTTTGTTCATTTACTTCTATTCCTGAGATTCAGTTTTGTGTCCTCTACTCCAACGAGACACGAGTCTATCAACAAAATAGCACTGGGAAAGGAATTCTAGTCTCTGACATTGAAACCTGGCTTCCAGTTTAAGCTCCTCCACTTCCAAGCTATGCAACCCTGGGCCAACCACTTAACCTCTCTGAGCTGCAGTTTCGTCACCTATAAAGCGAGAGGCAGGAATTGTGAAGATGACATAAAGCGTGTGAAAGAATTTAAAAGTGTAAAGGACTATAAAAGTGTGAGTATCCATTCTATTACATCGTTTAATCAGGGGACCAGACACATTTGATTGCGTCATTTCAGAACTGCTCCTGGGAGCTCTGCTCTCTGGGCTCCTGCCCTCACGGTGCTGGGAATGAATGAATGCAGCGCTAGCTGCAAAGTGCATGGCTGCAGGTTTCCCAGAGCTGGTCCTCCCAGCCAGCCTCTTTCGGTGGTGTCTGGAGCAAAACAACACCATACAATAATCCTCCAGCAGTCAAGTGTAGAAAATTACAATGAGGGATCACTAATCTAGAAGGGAAAAGTGCTGATTTATTGCTCTAACCTCCCTTGTCATAACATGGCAGTTAACCAAAAACACCATTCTGCAGGATGAAGGGAGACGAAATTTAGACTTGGACAGAAAACTCCAAAGGAAATTAAAGTGTCAGCGTGCTCTGAAAAGTAACTCTCCAAATATGCCACTGGCCACCGTGATATTTCCAGGCCTCCCCAGTGGCTTCCAGACCTAAAGTGATCAGCTCACTGCGTGGAGGCCTCTCCTAGCCGAGGGTGCTGCGGGCTTCCCGGGGCTTGTTCAGCCTCTCACATCGTCACTGTGCCAGGCGACAGTCAAACCGAAAACTGAGCTGACAAGTTCAGGAGACGCTGAATGAGGCAGAGGAGAACTCTTCTGGCCCCAGCCAGTGGCCAATGAAGCCTGCGTGTGTCCCGGCGGCCGGGCTCTGCAGGAGCAGAGATGTGGGGCAGGGAAGTCTGCCCTTTCATGGAGTTTTCTAAATGCACTTTCAGATAAAGGCCTTCTGTAAAGACCACAACAGCTGTCAACTCTGAATGTGGCCAACAGTCAAAGGATCATATCTGGAGCAAGCGAACCCGTTTTCAGAAACGCACATTAGGTGGTTACCCGTGGTGACGCAAACCAGACTTACTTGATCTAAATCTCCTTTCTCCGTTGCCAGTTCCTCCATCTCTGGTGTTGGCTCATCTTCCAGGAAGGGATTGGTAGATGGGGGTGGAGACTCAAGCTTTTTCTGTTAGGTAGATACGAGAAAGAGAGGTGTTTTCTGAGCATGTTCAATAGCTTTCCCCATTGATCTGCTTTTTCCAGGTGTCTCCAACAGCTAAGTCACGCACTCTGATCTAATAAAGAGCGGAGGCAACCCAGACCACATTCTTACCTCCAGGCCTTCACACTGCTTTCCCATCTTCCTGAAACCTCCCTGGCCACCCTGCCCCAACTCGAATCTGGCTAAAACGCTCACACATCCTCAGTCCTCACACTGGAACTCCATTCTGCTGGGAAGTCTTTCCCATCTGTCAGGTGTGGGTCAGACGTCCCCGACGCGTGTTCCCAAACCATGCTACACGTCCCCTACCCAGGCATCATTAAAATACGGCACTTGCCCATTATCTGTCTTTTCCCTTCTGGCCTCCAGGATGCCGGCGATTATGTCTATCTTGTTCCCCATCCTATCTCGGTGCCTGGCACGTAGCAGGGCCTCAGTAAATAGAAATGAATCAAAGTGCCAGATGGATTTCAATGCAAGAACAAACTACAAAGCTAATCTCATGTGTTCCAGATTAACAGATGTCTCTTCCCAAATAAGCCCCATTACAACAACCACAACAGAAATCTCCTTGAGAAAATCGACTTCTCAGCTTCCAAATATGACCACTATTTCAAAATACATCACTGAGTAGGAACCATGGGCCAGCGGGAAGGCTGCAGGCAGGAGGTGTGGTAGCTTAGCTCCAACCGTGCGGCACTGGCCCTATCACCCAGCTTCCCTGAGCCTCAGTAAGTTCATCTGCAGAATGAGGGCGCAATCACAGGACTATCTGGAGGATCAAATGTGAAACCCAGAAGCAGTGCAGGATACATACAAGGCTCGCTGACGACGTTAATTCCAGTACAACTACAGAATCAAGGCAGCTCTCTGGAATTCTTTTACAGTTTTCACCTAGAGATGTTGTTTATGCCTGGGAGCTGAAGGCTTTAGCAGAAAGGAGGCCAAATGGACAAACAGAAAAGAGGGACTGCTTGGTGCTGGGGATGAGGGAATGGGGCAAGGCATGGCTCTCTGGAGACAAGAAGTTAATGGAGAGGGAGTTTCGAAATGTACTTGGTATTTTAGCCAACACCAGTGGGTTGACCTGAATTAATCTCTAAGCCAAAAGGGACAGCAGATGGACTATAGCGTGAATAACTTTGCCAAGTGCCACGACACCATCTGAAGATATTACAAACAAAAAGTAAAACCAAAACTTACACAAAGGCTGGGCACGGTGGCTCACGCCTATAATCCCAGCACTTTGGGAGGCCGAGGCGGGCGGATCACTTGAGGTCAGGAGATCAAGACCAGCCTGGCCAACATGGTGAAAGCCTGTCTCTACTAAAAATACCAAAATTAGCAGTGTGGTGGCGGGTGCCTTAATCCCAGCTACTCAGGAGGCTGAGGCACAAGAATTGCTTGAACCCAGGAAGTGGAAGTTGCAGTGAGCTGAGATGGCACCACTACACTCTAGCCTGGGTGACAGAGCAAGACTCTGTCTCAAAAATAAATAAATAAAATAAAATAAAATAAAATAAATACCTTGCACAAAAACACTACACCTGCGTCTGGTTTTTGGTTTACAGTCCTTTAAACTGCTTATTTGTTGGCCAAAACACTCAGATGCAATGGAGGTGGACAGATACAGCCTCGGTGCACGACAAAGCCTTGTGGTGACGGCATTAGCTCGAGGTAATCGGTAGTAAGATGATGACTTTTGTGGTATCTCGGTGAGAAACAATATGGTCTAACATCCAAGCAAGTATTTCACATTTGCACACTCCAAACTTTGGCTTCTTTACCTAACATGAGAGGAAAAAATCCTTAAAAACTTACAGCTCTTTTTAGAATGCAATATTTCCAAGCTTAAATTGTCTTCTTAAGGGCTGCTGCTATTTTAGAGAGAGACAGGAACAGTAAGAAAGGGAATCTACCAAGCTTAATCTTCAACAACCGTAAAAAAATTAAATTAGGTAATAGCATTAGCTTCCTGATTCCACTGGCTTCACTGTGGGCTCTGGGATGATGCTGTCGAGCTGAGTCACTATGATTCCAAGTCTCTTGGTCCCTTGTAGATGTGAAAAGATAGTCAGCTAACTGAAGTTAAAAGTTTTGCTCAAAATCATTCAGTGACAGACACAGAATCTGAGTTTTTGAACTAAATGCCCCTCATCTATTGCTAAGTCTATTGGGTTGATAACACCACCTCACAATTACATAAAGGTGGGCCTCATTTTTAAAATGTAAGGTGTGATTGGAAATCATGGCAAACAGCAGATGTCAGTGAGGTGGACTGAGGATGTTCCTGGGTTCTACTCTCGCTGGCATAAAGCATCAAGAAAACGGAGAAGGTAGGAAGAAGTCACGGGCAGCACTGAAGCAGCAGGCACCATCTGAGGCGGGGTGAGCACAGGCCACTCGCTCAGTGTCACCATCTGGGGTAGGGTGAGTGCGGGCCAACCTCAGCCTCCCAAGTAGCTGGGACTACAGGTGCGCATCACCACACCCAACTAATTTTTGTATTTTTTGTAGAGATGGGGTTTTGCCATGTTGCCCGGGCTGGTCTCAAACTCCTGACCTGAAGCAATCCATCTGTCTCAGCCTCCCAAAGTGCTGGAATTACAGACGTAAGCCACCGTGCCCGGCCTCTATTAACATTCTGATGAAATGAGGGGAGTTGTGGACACCAAGGAGCTCCTAGCTCACTCATATGTGGCACATACATTCCACATGTGGACCATGTTAGTACAGGAAAAGTGATTCATTCCTCCCCTCATCCACTCAACAAAGGGATATGCTGGCCCTAGGAGTAGAGCAGTGAGAAAGACAGGCCAGCCTCACCCTCATGGAGATTAGAGTCTGCTGGGGGAGACAGCCTTCAATCCAACAGTCACACAAACAGTGAGAAGGGCCACGAAGGGAAAGCGGTCATCATGGAAACGTGCAACAGAGGGCCGCAGGAGACTTCCCTAAAGAAAAGATGTCTGAGCCGGAGCTGAAGGATGCCTCAGAGTTAAATATGTGAGGAGTGGAGGGCGGAGGGAACAGCACGTGTCTGCCACTCACTCAACAATGATGTACTGGGCATCTACTCTGCTCCAGGCACTCTCGGGCGCACCAGGGATGCAAGTGAGGAAGACGGATTAGAGGTGACGCTGCAGTGGTAAGAAGAAAACTCAGGGAGTGGGATGAGCTGGGGATGAGGGTGGGAAAGTGCGTCTACACAGGGTTGTCAGAAAAGGTCTCTGAGGAGATGACGGCTGAGCTGAGTAAGAAGGAACTGCTCAGGCAAAACCCAAGGAAGGGTGTTCTCAGCAGGGAGACCTGGTGGAGATGCTGGAAAGCACTTGGTGAGTCTGAGGGACAGAAAGGAAGATGGGGCCTGGGGTAAGAGAGGTGGCAGGAGCCCCGTCACGCAGCCTTTTGTGGCCATGGTAAGGGTCGGTTTTCTTCCCACTGCAATTGGGCAGTCGCTGGTGGTTTTCAAGAGGGAAGTGATGTGATCTAATTTGGATTTTAAAAATAGTCCACTGCTGTGGGGGAACGGATTACAGTGACAGCAGGAAGCCCAATTTAAGAGGCTGCTACAGTGTTCCGGGAAAGGGCTGATGGGGAACCGGAATAAGCTGGTGATGGAGGACAGAAAAAAGCGTCCGTCGGATTTGGGGCATAGTTAGGAGGCAGAGACAGGAGGCTTTGCTGAGAGTGAGAACTAGGGTGAGGGAACGAAAGGAGTGAAGGGACACCCACTTTCTGGTCCAAGCAACTGCACAGCTGATAGTGCCTTAACTGAGATGGGGCATCCTCGTGTAGTGGCAAGGCACAGGCTCCGGATCTGACAGACCTGGGTTCGAGTCCAGGCTCCACCACCATGGGGTGTGCTGTTTAACTTCTAGCCTCAGTTCTCCTACCTGCAATGTGAAGGGACAGGAATACCCACCTCGTATGGCTGCCATGAGGATGGAATGAGGTGTGCGCGGCAAGAGTGAGCGCCACAGTCACGTGCCACACCATCATGTTTCCGCCCATGACGGGCCACGGTATGACGGCGGTTCCACTAGATTATACTGGAGTCAGACGATGGAGTAGGCCGGGGTCCACAACCCCTGGGCCACCAGTCCATGGCCCATAAGGAAACTGAGCCACACATCACGAGGTGAGCAGAGCGAGCGAGCATGACCGCCTGAGCTCCGCCTCCTGTCAGTCTCAGGCAAACCCTGCTGTGAGCCGCTTACTGGAGGGGTCGGGGTTGTGCACTCCTCGAGAATCCAATGCCTGATGATCTGAGGTAGAACAGTTTCATCTCGAACCATCCCCGACCCCCTCCCCCAACTCCCACCCCCAGCCCCACCTATGGAAACACTGTCTTCCACAAAACCAGTCCCTGGTGCCAAAAAGGCTGGGGGCAGCTGGAGGAGGTTATAGCAGGCATACCCTACGAGGTTTGCACAGTGATGAAACTAACGACGCATTTCTCAGAACATACTCCTGCCTTTAAGCAATGCGTGACCAAATATACGCGGCAGCTTAACCTGCTGTTGGCACACAGGACGAGGCTCAGCAAGGGGGAGCTTTCAGCGGTAGTTAATAGGGTGAGCTAGGACATGAGGCATAACCGTTGTGCTTCTCTCAATACAGCAGCTCACAGAAGAGAAAGACGCGGACACGCAGCGTTAAAAGTCTTGTCAAAAGAATTTCTGTTAACCACAAGTGGAACCTTGTTCCAACTATTTTGTCTCTTTGGGATCTCTCTAACAAATGAAAGCAAAGGGCCCATCAACTTTGCACTTTCTAAGTGGAAAGGCACATTGAGCTGCTCCTTTCTTCCCCAGTCTGCAACCACGCACGTACCACCCACCTCCCTGTTGATAAAAGTCCCAAAACCCTCAGGTGTGGATATGCATTCCGGCGGTTCGGGGGCTACATGACTGCTTGGATTAACTGCTAAGATGAAAGACAAGTCCTAGCAGGGAGCGATC